TGGGCCAGCCTGGTCTATATAGTAAGACCCTGTCTCAAAACTAAAAAAGAGAAAGGAAAAAAGAAACGCCACTTAGCTTAGTTATACTCTAATAGAAGCAAAAGCTGCTGGGCAGTCATGGTGTAGCCTTTAATCCCAGCACTTGGTAAGCAGAAGCAGGTGGATCTCTGAATTTGAGGCCAGCTTGGTCTATAAAGCAAGTTCTAGGCCAGCCAGGGCTGCACAGAGAAGTCCTGTGTGTGTGTGGGGGGGGGGGGCAAAGCCTACCATCTGTCCTGCACTTGTAAGAAGACAAATGAGCCTATAGGCTGCTTTGCACCATGCTCCTCAGCTGGTGGTCAGCTCTGGTCACGCACAGGCTTGTGTATCAAAGTGTAAGGCTGATGCATTGGCCATTGGCTGAGAAGTGGACAGTTGAGAGCCAGGCAAGTGCTCTTGGGAACCAAGGCAATGAGGCAGAGTGGGCAGAGGCAAAGGAAGGGGACAGTCAACATTCTCTAGTGCACTCCGACTCCTGCCTTTTCTGGATTCCCAAGGCAGGCAGGGGCACAGCACCTGGTAAGGTAGCACAAGCTGCCACAACAGCCACATTGTGTCCAGACGCCCTACAACATATTTACACTTGTCTCTGAGCACAGGCTGCATCTCACCTCTTGCCTCTATCACTCTCCAAGTTAATAAGCTATAAAAGGGCCATGACCCTACCCCACAGTCTCACAACACAACCTTGCCTGGCCTGGAGATCTGCCTACCTCTGCCTCATAAGTGCATGTACCACCACACCCAGCCAACAGCAGAGTTCTATTACAGTGTCTGTGACTTTGGGCTAGAGATATGCTGGGATGTATGAGTATACAGGGATATGAGATATTTGGTATATATATTTGTGCATATGCCATACATATGTGATACAAGAGAATGCTTGGCATGCTCACGTTCTCGTCCAGGATGCTACAGGCCCAGATCTAGAATGACAGTGTGCCAGCACCAGTGTGGTGTAGGGCAGTCCTGAGAAACAGCAACACTTGTACCTGGGGAGTGGCGCTGTGTGCCAATCGCTACACTAGGTGCTCAGGAGGGATAATGAGTGAGACTGTCAATGCTGGGCACATATGCTTGATCTACATTCTGGATCAGTGGGAAGGAAGAGTACGAAGGTGGGCCTGCCTCTGTCACGTGAGGCCAGGGGCCGTGAGCTCAGTGGTCGACCATCTAACACACCCATTCTTCCCTAGCACCCACTAGGTCCTCAGAGGTTCCAGTCAAATAGTCACAGACAACACAGAAGACATAGCTTTGCTAATACTATCTTCAGGTCTCTGCTCCAGAACCAGGAATGTAGCCTGGGGAATGGAATGGGAGGACCCTCAAAATCCACTTCTATACCATCTGCTTTGTGTTATAGTTGAGGAAATGGAGGCCCAGTGTGAGCAAAGTGCTGCCATAGGTCACAGGGTAAGCTGGAAACAAAGGCAACCTGGGAACCCACACTCCCCTGATGGTACCTGGTAGCCCCAGGCTCGCCCCACAGCAATGCTCAACAGCCTGGATAGACACATAGCTTTTTCATTCCAGGCCAACCTATGGCCAGGGGAAGGGAGTCACAGTTTCCAGCTAACTAGGGGCAAGGACATCTATCTGTAAATAGATCCTCCAGGGCCCTACAAAACATGACATACCCTAAGGAGGTATCATGCTCACTCCCCTGCCAGAAGTCCACAACTCCCAACACTCCACTGTAGAGCATAAGAACTAAGGGACCATCATTCCTTATGGGGCTCACACTGCCAGATCTTGGGACTTCTAAGGAGTGACTGCAAGTCAACGCCCCACACTCTCACCTAATCACACCTACAGTCCCCACGGAGTTCCTAAGACTCCGAGCTTATCCAGAAAGCTAGCTTCTTTTATAGAGGATGGCAAAGGCCAGGGCTTCCTTCCTCCGGCCGGCTGCTGAGTGCCATCACTGGTTGTGTCTTTCCACGTAAGGGGAACAGTCTGCTAAGTTGCTGCCCTCCCTTCACTTCCTCAGCAAGCCAGGGGGGGCTTTCAAACCAGTCCAGACCTAACCCTGCTGGGAAGGAGGGAGGAAGCAGTGTATAAGCGCAGCCAGTCGGACAAGGGAAGCCGAGGCACTTCCTAGAATGGACTAGACAGCATAGGAATCGGTGTCTAGACTGAGGCAATACCTCGCACACCTTAAACAGGCCTACCCGGAACAGGAAAAGCTGAGTCTAGCTGTTCCCAGACACCAGCAGGCCTGGAGATGCTTCCGGGGAAGATGCCCATGCTTAAATTGTTCCTTACCGTGGGGCCCTACAAGGAGCCCCAGCCTTGGGAATCAGGGACTGGGCGTCCTAGAGTAGCCATGCCCGTCAAGTGCTCCCGAGAAACCTGTATCCAGGCCCCTTGCCCTCCACCGCGGACACGCGGACCATGTGAGCAGCAGGTGCAAGACGCGGGGGTGGCAGGGATGACACAAACCATACTAGCGCCCACCTCCCACAGCCTGCGGGCCTCCGCCACGGCCCTCCTGCCACCCCAGGCTGGCGCTTCCGTCTGGATGCCGAGATGGAGGTGGGAGGCGGTTCCCTCCAGTCCACCGGCTCCAACGCGTAGCGCCCCCCGCAGCCGGCCCTCCCGCCAAGGACGCCGCTCCGCAGTGGCCCCCGCCCCGCCCTCCGGCCCCGCACGGCGCTCCCGCCAGGCCCCGGCGCCCGCCCGGCGGCGGCCTGCGGCGCGGTCCCGCCCCCGGCCCGGTCCCGCCGCTTACCCGGGGCGCTGCAGTCCGCACACACCTCCGCTCGCGGCCCCTTCCGGGACATCCTCAGCGGCGACGCGGCCGCAGCCCTCTGGGCCAGCGTGGGGGGCGCGGGCGGCGGGCCCGGGCGGCGGCGGCGGCCTTACGGCCCGGCCCGGCTCCCGCAAGGCCCCGGCGAGGCTCCGCGCGCGCGGTCAACCGTCCGCCCCCGGGGCTGGCCCGGAACCCGCCGTGCCCGCCCGCCCGCTCGCCCTCGGGCACCCTCCGCCCCGCGCCGCCCCGCGCCGCCCCGCGCTGCCCCGCCGCCGCTCGCCGCTCTCCCCGCCCCCTGCGCGGCCCGGGCCGCTCCTGCAGGAAGCAGCGCAGGCCCTGCCCACCAGGGGAGGGGCGGCACGCACCCCGCCCCGCCGCTCCGCTCCTCTCCAAGGCCGCGCCCCTCGGAGAGAGGAAGCCTGCGCACCGGCCGGAGAGGACGGGGCCTCTTAAAGGAGCCGCGGCCCTCTTCAGCCTGGTCTTCAACCGAGACACCCGCAAGCACTTTGACCTTCACTTTCAGATTGGGGAGTGGTCCAGGAGCCGAGAGACGGATGTGGTGGGGACTAGGGCGGACAAGAAACCTCCCCAGGCACATTGCTCCTCGTGGTCCGAAGCTGGGCTGAGGTGTGTGTTCTGGTCCCCTCTGTGTCCATGTCAGTGTCCAGGTGGGTCTGTGGCAACATCCCCGCCAAGTACACGAGCTACCACCAATTTGGACGTCCAGGTGCCCAGGAAGTCACTCAAGTGTGACTCCCTGCCTGCGGGATTAAAAAACGCACCTTCTTTGTTTCAAACAAGAAAGCCAAGAATCTGGATGGTTAAGAGTGACCACTGAGTTGTATGCACCAGCACAAGCTTGCTATCTGTTTTGCATGCATCAACGATGTTTTGAGGCCGCCCAACGGGTGTGTATGTACCCAGAGCATACGCATATAATATATAGGATCCAGTTCTTGTAAAAACCTTTTTTTCCTTTTTTTTTTTTTTGGACTTCTCATGGAGACCGGAGGAGAGGGAGGGGGCACGGAGCTGAAGTGCAGGCTGCACGTGGGTGCACCCCACACTGAGCATGCTCCCCCATACACGTGTGACCCGTTTGCGCCCAGCCCCCATGCCTACAGCAGCAAAAGGGCTGTCAGAGCACTCAGCTTGTGGAGAGGGCAGAGATACACAGCACCAGGTTGGAGGGGGGTACACAGTGGAGGACGCAGGTCAGTGGTGACATAGTCCTAGGTGTCAGGGATTCCTACTCAGTTATAGAACGGGGGTTTGGGGGAGTCCTTTGATAGGGGTGCCTGAGTGGGTCGACTTTTCCCAGCAGTGACAGAGCAGCGGTGACTTGTGGGTGGGCAGGCTCCTTCCCTAGCAATGCTTATGAGTCACACCACCCAAAATACATGCAAAGTTCCACCACATTTTGCTGCAACCCAGATTGACAAGTTTGTTTGAAATTGCGATCCACAGGATATATTTATAATCTCACTTTAGGGAAAAAAAAAAAAACCTTGCAGACATCCCTTCCCCCCACAGCCAGCAGCTCAGCAGGTGGGGCTTCTGTCAGCAAAGATAACTCGAGGGTGGTGGTGATGCCACTCCATACTTCACTCGTACCGAAGAGGCTGTAGGCTCGGCGGCCCCAGCTCTGGAGGTGGGAAGCAGCCTGGCAGCTAAAACTGGGCGCGCAGCCCAGGAACAGTGGCAGCCCGTTCACCCCAGATCGACCCCCCAGCTATGGAATTTCATTTATTAAATCTCGAGGCGGCTGCTGGCAGCCCTGTCGCTTGGCTGCCTTTGTTTCTTAGCTGTGTGGGCGCGTCTCGAGCACGTGGCAGCCAGGGCGCTCAGACCAAAGGGAAAGCGACCTGGGCTTAGAGTCGGTAGAGGACCATCTGGCGAAAGGGGAACCTAGCTACCCAAAGAATAAATAGTTCTTCCACATGTATGTTGGCCTCGCTCCCTTCTTGGTCTACAGAGTGGTTCAGGGGAAGAATATTCACGGCCCCTCCCCTCTGGCCGTTCCATCTCCCTGTTGGCTCAGGGACAGCTTGGGAGTAGCCCTAACACATTGTCCAAACTTTGTTCCAGAACCCCCAACCTCACCACAGCCAAGATTCAGTGCTTGAAGATGGAGATAGTAGGGTTTCTGGGTTCCCCGGAGATGTCACCATCCCAAGAAACAGCAGAGCTCAAGTGGAATCACACACAAGGCTCTGAAACGATTTAATGAAGTACTGTACAAGTATTCTAGAAACCTCTCCTAGATGCTCCTCCTTTACTCTAGCCCCCTCCTCAACTCGGGCTGCAATCACGACACTCTGCTGACCCCTGGCGGTGGAGGTGCGGATCTGGGCTGTGGAAACGCCTGCCGGCTCCTCCCCGGCTGCAGAAAGGGGCGAGGCAGTCTGCTCCTCCCTCAGCCCTCCCGGGCCAGGCAAAGCTGGGTGTGCGGGAGGCAGGGGAGAAGGACCACACAAAGAAACCCGAGAGAGGCATCAGGAGTTTGCAAGCTTTTGCTGGCACCTCCCACACAAACACTCATTAGACTGTTGTTCCAAGTCGGGTTGGTGAGGAATCCCCTATTTCTGCCGTGGCTTAAGGTGGGCTGAGGGAAGGCAATGCGTTCATTCCTACCACCCGTCTCAGCCTGGCTGAAGGAGAGTTGCTGTCCTGGGCTCACCCCAGGAGGTGATATCCAATCCCATTGTAGAAGTGAGTGGACTGAGGAACTCAGAAGTGTATGCAATTTGCTTAAAAACAAGCAATTGAGGCAGTCGGAATCTAAACTCTCTCGACATCATGATCCATTTTCTCTTTCAGGGCATCTTGGTCCTTTTAACATTTGCAGCTGGCCACCACAGAGGCCATTTTCACTTTTTCCACACTCTCTGCAAGGGATCCTTGTGGAAGGGCTCGTTTGCTCTGGTCATTCAGGAAGGAGGCTGTCTGCACCCCGTCATTTCCCTTAGTCAGGGACCTACATGGGTTGGAGGTGTGGAGATGCCAGTTTGCTCAGCCTCGTCCTGGTTCTTGATGAGCAATGTAGGGGAAGGACTGTCTTCTTCGCCCCCGTTAGACATGCTCTTTCCAGCGTGATGTGTGGAAGATGGGGTTTACTTTTCTGAGAGAGCAAAAGATTGAGAAATATTTCGAGTGTCAGATCCCTGTCTGCTTCAGTGACCCTTGGTACTGGTGCCCTGAATCTTTCCTAGGGGCCGTTCATTGGTCAATATCTTCTAAGAATCCAGATGCCACCTCACCCTTCCTGGGACCCAAGCTCACTTCTGCAGGCCACATGTCCCCCGCCCCAACCCTTCAAGTCAGGCCTGTAAGCCTCCTCTATTTCCTTGCCAGCTGGTGGAGGGCCACCCCAACCCACCTGGCATCCAAGTAAGGCCCCCGTTTCGTCCGGGCCCACTGTCTGTCCACCCTTTCAGGAAATCAGTTCCAGACGGTCTCGGGTCATCCGAAACGCTCGGTTCTACCAGGCGGACTACAAGCCCCATGATGCTGCGGGGCCGAGCTGTAACTAGCCCAGCTCAGGGCACCCGGGTCCCCTCCTCTCTCTCCCGCATCTGCTCGTCCCTCGCCGGCCGCTCGGGCTGAGGGCCGGGCTATGCGGTTTAGGGTAGCCGGAGGCTGCGGGCGCGCGTCCCTGCGGCGGCGGCGGCGTCCCAGGGGCCAGCGCCCTGTGTGCCCCCGCTCCCGCTGCGGGCCCCTGCTCCCTGTGCCGAGTGGCGTCTTTGTGTGCGGGGGTGTGGGAGGCGAGGCGCGAGGCCGCGTGCCGCCGAGTGCCCGCTCCCTCCCCGGGCGGGTGGGGGCTGCTCCGCGCCGCCCGCCGCCGCCTCCCGAGGACGCCCGCCGCCCGCACCACGCCGGGAGCGCCGCCCCCGCCCGCCGCCGCCGCCGCCGCCGCTCGCACATGCCCGAGCTGCAGCCCCGCGAGCAGACAGCGCCGGCCGCCCGCCCCGCGGCCCCGGGCCCCGGCTCCCGCGCCGTCCCTCCCCGCGGGCCGGGCGCCGCGGCCCCGGCATGAGGAGCGGGCGATGATCCCCGCCAACGCCTCCGCCAGGAAGGGGCCCGAGGGCAAGTACCCGCTGCACTACCTCGTGTGGCACAACCGCCACCGCGAGCTGGAGAAGGAGGTCCGTGCCGGCCAGGTAGGAGCGCCGTCGGGGACCATGGCCCGGCACGCCCGCGCGGCGTGGGGAGGGGGCGCGGCGCCGCCTGTCCCGCCTCTCCGGCGAGTTTGCAGCGCTTCTTTGTTTGCAGCCGCGGCTTTTGTGCTTGTTGACCTGAAGAGGGTGATGGGAGCGGCCCCCGCCTGTCCCCCTGGTCCCAAGACCGGTGGTCCACACGTGTTCCGGGCCCTCGGAGACTGGTGTGGAGGGACCCTGTGCTCTCCTCCGTCGGGGCTTTAAGGGACTGCAGGGAGGGGCTGTCGGTTCTGTCTGTGCTCCTTGTGGTGAGAGAGTCCACCCCACTAGGTCTAGGCGCGACATCCCCTTGTGAGTGTGCACGGATAATAAGAAAGGCCTGAGTGGGGAGGGGGCCCACATAAGATCAGAGAACAAGCTGTGTGGCACTCTCGGGCATCCCAGCCCCACCCAGTGCCCTCTCACTTCCTGGTGAGCGAGGTCTCTGTTTGCTTAGAGTGGACTGAATCTATGGATGCCTCAGTTCCCGGCCCTGGCTCCGGATCCAGGAGTGGGGGAAGACACGGAAGGACCTTGTCCAGGTGCTGAAAAGCGCTCTCCTGGCTTTTGGTGCTAGGGCCTACCTTCCCACTGGGGAGGAAGAAGGGGCCACAGGAAGGACTTGGGGTTCTACACAGAACAAGGGTTCCCTACTTTTTGTTAATCAGAGAAACCTGTGGGTCAGAGAGCTATGGGCTGGGCAGTGACCTCAAAGAAGACCACACGTGGTGGTGCGTGTCTGTAGTCTCAGCACTGAGGAGGCAGAGGCAGGAGAATTGCCACAAGTTTTAAGGTCAGCTTGGTCTACTTCATGTCCCAAAGTAGCCAGGGCTACATAGTGAGACCCTGTATTCGAAAACCAGAACAAGCAGAGAGACTGGGGAATGGTGGTGTTTCTTTGCCTTTACTCAGAACAGAGGCAGGCATAGGTCACAGTCTTCAGTTCTGTTCTTACCACCCAGTCAACTTGCAAAGCAGTCATGATGCAACTCTCTCCCCCAGGGAAAGTGATGGCAGAGCTGGGCCCAGGCTGCCCTGGGCTGCTTAAGAGTCAGACCTCCCAGGTAGATTAGGGGAGGGGCTGTGAGCCCCTTTCCTCAATCATGGATGCTGACTAAGAGCCAAGGCTGGCCATCAGACTGTCTAACATTCACTCTTGAGTCCCTAGACCAGCATAGCATCCAGCTCTGCTTTGCATTCCCACTTAATAAAATGATCTGGGCCTGCAAGCCTCTGGATTGGGCTAGGGGCTCACTTCCTTTCTGTGTCTGCTTTCACAAGGCCTCTCCAAGTTAGTTTATCTGTCACAAAGGCTTTGTAAAAACAGGAGGTCAGAGAGCCCGGGAAGCAAATACAGGGTATGGATGCCTGCCCTGGAGGAGATTCAGTTCTGGGATTCCAGTGTGCTGAACACAGGACGGAAAGATCCAATCCCATCTTCTCTGTCTCCTCTTCACTGTCCTTGTCTAAGAGAGACCCAAAGATCTAGGGATTGTTAGAAGGCTAGAAACTGAATCCCCAGGATGACACAGCTCTACTCCCTTCACCAAAGGGTGTGGGTGGTCCTTTTCCTAAAACTAGAAAGAAGTGGAATGTCTCAGAAGAGGGCTTTTTCATCTTTGTTGACAGACCTCAAGTCAGCCATCTTGCTGGGGAGCCTCAGCTGCTGTAGGTCATGGTGGCCAGGGCTGTTTAGATTGTTTTTCTCCTAATGCTCATGATGCCATGGTAGCTAGGTAACCTGTTCACCCCATTCTGGACCTGGTGAGTTCATGTCTCACTGAAATGGATACCTGCCTATCTGTCCTTGATCCAAGCCAGGAGAAGATAGGGCACCAGTGACATTAACCCTTGTTTATCCATGAGGAGTTCAAGCAAGTATTCTCCTTCCCTCCAGAGTACCAGGAAGCAACATACCAGTTAGCCTTGATGGGAGAGTCCCTGCGGTACCCAACCCCAGGGCTGACACAAACTTGCATTCAAATGTGCACTATCTCATCTTTGGGGCATTAAGATGTCCTCTCAGGAGACAAACCTGGGGGTAGCCACCTGACATCATGATAGCACTCCTGTAGGCACTTAGCATCCCAGATGGTTTGGGGGGGGGGCGCTGACCTCTAGAGCTCCTGACACAAGCCACAGTAGAAAACCACCAGGCTTTCCTGAAGCACTTGGCAGCTGGGTCTCTGCTCCTTGCTGGGCATGGCTGCCTTTCCTTTGCCCCAACCAAGGCCTGCAGAGGCCCTCCGTGGGCAGGCCTGGCAATGCTGACTGTCTGAGTAGGGCAGAGAACTTTCAGAGTGGCTCAGCCACTGGGGGCTCTTCTGGGAATGGTGAGGTGCTGGGATGCAAGGAAGGAGCCTAGCTGGAGCCTAGAAACCCTGGCGGTCGGGTGCCCTGCCAGGCAGGAGGGAGGTGGTGGAGAGCAGTGTATGCCACTTGCACTTCGCCTGGCATAGCCCGGGTTCTGGAGTCACGAGTCCCCTCGGGGTGAGGGCACAGGGATGACCACGGGGACAGCGTCGTTGTGACAGCAAGGATTCAGAAGGAATCCTGTGATGGTCTTGGGAACCGTTGCTTTTTCCTGGGGCTGCCTCTGCCATGGTCTTCCCACTTTCTCCATTCATCTTTCCCACCTAGAGCTCGGTGAAGCCCTGTTAAAAGTACCAGTTATGTTGGGAACATTGGGGGAGCGCCTGGTACCTCCCCTCACTCCACAGAAGTCCTGGGTGTGGTGGAAGCATCACAGTCAGGAAGCTGCAAGCCTCAATAACATACAAACAAACAAATCCATGAATTCTGGGATGGGAGAAAGACCAAACAGGGATGGAAGGGTGGAGAGTCAGCAGTGCTGCCCCAGTGCCCATGGTTGTCCATGTGCCCCATGTAATCTGAGGAAACACCCTCAACCCTCCCACCCTTGAAAGCGCAGGAATGCCTGGCCCTACACCCCGTGGTAGGTGGCAGCTCTCAGAAGCAATGACTAAATCAGACTCCAGCCATCTTCCCTCGGGCTGGGAAGGAGGACTGCGTGGTAGGGGAAGGAGAGGAGGCCAAGTGGCCAAGGCTCTTTGATCTCTCACCCTTCTCCAGTGCCCAGACTTACGGTATATTTGGCAAGTGCTTTTAAGGCTTTACTTGACAGTTTCTGCCCATGATAAAAGAGTTTGAAAAACACCCTGCTAGTGCATGTGGACTTTTAAGCTGAGTATGCCATTACCAAATACACATTACCCAAGTGAACTCCTGCAGAGCCAGGGAGCAGCTAGGCACACCTGTGCCTGTGCAGTTCAGAGAACACAGGGGCCGTGTGGGTGCCTTCTCCTGGAACCTGTGTGAGTGGAGGCAGGGAGGCATCTCACCAGGGAGCCCCCGCTCTCCAAACCCTAAAGACTTCAGCTTTGATTCCCTCTGAGCCTGCTGGGTCTAGGAGTCTCCACTGTCTCTGTGGGGAGGGCGGTGTTGGGTTTCATGGAAACCTTTTCATTGCAGCAATTAAACAAACAGCCTTGAGCGTTTGCTGAGGAAATTAATGAATTCTCCCACCTGGACCCAGGGCAAGGTGCCATTGGTGCTGCAGGCTCTGCTCTGGATAGGTGGTGAGAACTGCTTTGGGGCCCAGGTGGGTGTCTGGGGGGGCATGGGAATTAGGGCTGCCTGGAGGCAGCTGCTGGGAGCAGTCTTGAAGAGTTGGGGTGGAGCTGAGGTCCACAGGAGCCCCGGGTGCCTGGCTCCCTAGGGCCTTGTTAACTTCAGTAGCGGCAGTGGCATCTGGGCAGAGCCGGGGACACCCAGCAGCTCACCTGCCACCCTGGGGGAAGGACACTTTTTCTTTTCATATATATTTATCAATAACTCTAGTTCCAGGGACCCAGTGCCCTTTTCTGGCCTTCACAGGCGCCAAACATACCCATGGTGCCCAGACATCCATGTAGGAAAAACACCCAGACACATAAAAATCAAAATACAGAAAAAAGGACATTTTTATTACACGCAGTTGTGCGTGTGCAGTGCACAGAGTCCCCGCATGCACCTGCATGCCACAGCATAGGTGTAAAGCTCTGGTCCTGTTTGTGTTTTGAGACAGCGTGGTGATGTGTGTGTATGTTTCTGTATGCACCAGGGCCAGCCTACCTGGCCAGAAACTGTGTTTTTTAAAAAAAAGGAAGAATAAATGAAAACAAAAAATGTATTTTTATTTGTGTGTTTTTCTGTGCATCTGTGAGTGTCTGCACCGGGAAGCCAGAAGATGCACCAGGTCCCTTGGAGCTGGAGTTCCAGGCATTCCTGAGCCACATGACATGGTGTTGGTCCTCATGCTAGAACAGCAACACTGTTAACCCTGAGCTGCTCTGAAGCCCCAGGGTTTCTAACACTTCCATTCCTCCACTGCTCGCTTCACTGCCCTCACTGGGCTCTCCTTGATACTGATACTGACCTCTGTAATCACAAGCTACTTGGCTCATTGCTTTTATACACATGTTTTTTTGTTTTTTTGGGTTTTCGAGACAGGGTTTCTCTGTGGCTTTGGAGGCTGTCCTGGAACTAGCTCTTGTAGACCAGGCTGGCCTCGAACTCACAGAGATCCGCCTGCCTCTGCCTCCCCAGTGCTGGGATTAAAGGCGTGCGCCACCAACGC